ATGTAGAGCTGAACTTAGTAGAATGGCCTCATATAGTAGGTGTCATGTAGGACACAGTGGCACTGCCTCCACAGTAACCCAAGCTAGGTGCTCCAGGTACACCCCTGTTCAGTTATAGTTGAGCCTTGATTACTGTTGGTTGCCCCTTTGAGGACAAGCTGCCACTAGAACAGAGGAGCAGCTGTGCAGGAGTGGAACCTACAGACTATGACTTGCTTCAGTGAGGCTTTGGTGCCCACTAAGTCTGCTGGTGGTGGTGTCCCTTATGGAGTTACAGGGCTGTAATCCAATGTAGTCTGAAGATTTTTGGCTGCATACACTGGCTCTAGGGTCTTCCATGAACTTTAAATTCAGTGACTGTGTCTGATCTTCCTTGGGCCACCCAGCACATGCTACAGAAGAATCTGCAAATGTCTTTTACTAGTGCTGGGCTTGAAGGTGCTCAAGAAAGGGCACATGTGAACCAAGGCCAGCTACTGCTAGTGCTGGGCCTGGGGCCACATAGAAAGTGGTACAGTGTGTCTAGAGGCCTGATGCTGCTTATTTGAATTTTTTAGGAGTGTCTGAAGCATGAGGCAAGAGAGGACACATTTATGAAAAAGCCACTGGAAATGACATGGGGAGGTGGGGCCTCAAGTTGAGTGTGGTAAGGTATAGGGAATCACCAGGGCAGGGAAGACAGTGTGAGACAGGTTAGGTTGATGGAGGTCCAGGTATGCTTCCTGCAGGCTCTCTGGAAGGGGTCTCAGAAAAGTAACAATGTCCTCTGCCAGCACTTCTTCTGGCAGAAAGCTGCCTGCCACCTCTCATTCTGATGCCAGATAATTCATTTCCTTCCTGTATGTCCCTATTGATTTTCAAGCTGTTTTCCCAGTGCTAGAATTTATATCCAGTGAGTCCAAGTAGGATTACTCACAGTCCCTTTAAAAGGAACTGCTTGGGACTTCAGAAGCCCTCCATTTTATTCAGCCACAATCTCCACTGGTCTTCATAGCCAGAAGTAATTGGAACTTCTCCTCTTGCCACTGGAATCCTGGGCTGCATGTCTTAGTATGTGGATGGGACTGCTTGCTTCTCAGCGGGGACCTCTGCAGAACAGATATCCTTCCTGATTTATATCTGCTGAATGTGGGAATGCGACCAGCTTGTTCTGGTTCTCTCCTCCTCCTACCAGTCTTGATGTGGCTTCTTTAAATCCCTAGTTGTAGGATTTTCATTCAGCTAGGTTTCAGGTGGCTTTGAATGATGCTTGTTCTGTAGTTTAGTTGGAATTTTGATCTGGTTGTGGGAGGATTTGAGTACCACATTTACTTATGCCACCATCTTGATCAGAGTCCCTTATTGAAACCTCACAGAATTAATAATAAATTCCCCACATTTGCAAGAATTTTGATAAGTATATAACACTAATGCCATTTTCTATTAAAAGGACATACAAGTAGAAATTATTTTGCTTTTTAAGCCTCTATTTGCAAGAGCAGCAAATCTTACAAAGTACTTACAGAAAATTATAAAAAAAATAGTTACAAGGTATATATAGAAAAGTACTTTAAGAAATTATTCAGTGACATAGATGAAAATTTAACTGGCATGAGGGATATGCCATATAACTAATAAGAAGACAAATAAATGTAAGGTTTTTAATTTTATACCCAAATTAATCTATAAACACAACAGAATACCAAAGAAAATCTAACCAGGTATTTTTTTGAACCTGAAAAGTTATTTATAGTCTTTGTTTAGAAGGTCAAGTAGTAAGACTGTATAAGAAAAAAATAATTAAAAAGTGGTTGGGAGATTGCCTGAACACAAATCATGAAATCTAGTTGGCACGTGGGTAGACAAATAGATACACAGAAAATCATACAAAGGCTGGAAATGAACAATATAATATATGTCATGTTGCAGAGGTAAAATACTGAGTGATTCAAGATATTATTTTATAGAAACACACACACACACACACACACACACACACACACACGCACACACATGCACACACACACACATTGTACCTGAAGCCATACACAAAAGAATATACCAGATGTAGTAATGACTTAAATGTAAATAGCAAATCTTTCAAGTTATTAGGAGAAAAAATATAGAAAAATATATTTATGGTATTTTGCTAGGGAAAATTTTCAACAAGATTCAGAAAGCACATTTCCTAAAAAAACAGATGAATAAATTGAATATAAAACTTTAGAGCACTGTGCACAATGTTAGACTGTGGTGATGGTACCGTGAATGTAGGTATATTTCTAAACTCATCAAAGGATTTACATTATATAAATACAATGTTTTATAACTAAACTAGTGGCCCAGCCCATGAAATTTGTAAGCAGGTGCGGTCCCTAGGCTTGGCCTGCAATCAGGCCCATCTTCCCCAGCTGCCTGAAGCCAGACCCGCCCCCCATCACCATCCACCCCCAGTTCCAGGTTTGCCATCAGGTAATCAGAGCCTGCCAGCTGTGGTAGGAACTGAGAGATCTGCCATTCCACCAGCTTGTCAGGCCCGCCCCTGCCAAGTGTTGTCCTCTGTGTGGGGGGTGACTGGTGGGGCAGGGACCTTGGCCTGGAGCCACCCGCAACCCCGCCACGCATCCCTGGTTCCTCGTTCAAAATGGGCGATCAGAGCCTGCCGGTCAGGGAAAGAGACCAGAGATGGTCAGTGCACCTCACATTGACTGGTTGAGCAGTCATTCTAGTCATTCATTCTGCCATTAGGATCAACTTGCATATTGACCTTTTATTATATAAGAGAGAGGCCTGGTGCATGGTTGGGGGCTAGCCAGCCTGCCCTGATAGGGTTCTGGATAGGGGTGGGGTCTCCACTGGGGGGAACGGGCAAGCTGGGGTGAGGAGCCTTGAGGGGTTTTAAGGATGGCCACACACTCAATTGGGCTGGGGCTCTCCACTGGGGTGTGTGGCCAAGATGAGGGATTTTCAGGCCAGCCATGTTCATAATTGGGGTGGGGGTCGGGACTGGGGGGCGGGGCCGACTGGGGCTGAAATGCTACCTCAGCATCTTTCTACTCATTGGTGTGCGGCCCTGGTTTGTAGAGAACCCTCATGTGAAATCCTTAAGGCATTTCAGAAATAAATGAATAAATATAAATATATACAGGAAGCGATATACATGCAATATCTGCTTTCTTCCCTACAATAAGCCTCCCTGTTCCAAGGGTCACAACATTGTGCTGCATACTGGATTGGGTAAGGAGCAACGTAAAAATGAAAACACACTGAGAAAAGTCTTACATTAAAATCTATACGGTGGATTTTATTCTAATGAAAAAATAAAGTTAACAAATAGCCTGCATCTCAACAAGGAGCTGGTGGTCCACGTGTCAAAAAATAAGTTTGCTTTTAATAGTAAACAATAATAATATAGCTCATAATATTTAATTTAGATATTTCCTGCGTGTATGCACGTTCATACATACACACACTGAATGTTTTAGTAACTTTGTGTTACTATTCTCTTAAGAAACTAAGGTAATATTCCCATCAGTTTTTTTAGTAAATAAATTGATAACTTTGAAAGACTAATAGGCATTTTGTTATTAGTATATCTTCCATCAATCATATCTATAAAATAAATTGTTTATGATGAGTTTATTATGGGATGAGCAATTAAACACGTGCTTACAAAGAGCAGTAACTTCTTAAGCCTTCCTGTGCTCCTATGTCTTAATATAACATCCTCCATATTTCACCTATCGCTTTCTTAATTAATTTCTCCTTAGCACTTACCACACACTCACACTATCTTAGTCACATATTAGTTTCATGTTTGTCTTCTCACCTTGAATGTGAAGTCATGAGGAAAGGGACCATTGGCTGTGTTGACTGAACCCCTGGTGCCTAGAACAGTGTCTAACAGGGAGTATGTCATCCAGATATGTTTGCTAAGTGACTGAATGAATGAGATGCAGGAGGATTCTCACAGGAGAGAAATTTAACTTGAAAACCTGCAAATAACTAAGCTTGGCTATTTAATTTAGAAATATTTAAATTAAAAACAATATTAATAACAAATAATAACATTGTGTGCTCACGATGTGCTATGCAATTTCCACATTTTATTCACTTAATGTTCAAAGGTGTGTAGGTATGTGCTATTACTTATTTTACCAATGGAGGAACCAAAAGCATGGGAAAATTCAATACCTTGCCCAAGAAAGGAAGGTTAAAATGCTTTCATACATCTGAGTCCAGAATCTGAGTCATTAGTCTCTACAGTAACCCACAAAACAGAATCATCTGAAAAGGAAGTGTTAGATAAGAAAATATTTGATTCTGGTGAAAAATGTTTTCACTCCTAACAGCAGAGCTGCTTCTCAGAGACACATGGCTCCTAGGACATAGCAGACCGGTAGGACGGAGACGTGGATCACAATGGTTCAACTTCTCCAAATGCTATTCATTGAAAGTATGTGTCCCTCCAATACACAGATGTTGAAAACTAAGGCACACGGTGACAATATCAGGATTTGAGGTACTGAGCAGTTGAATTGATCATGAGGGCAAAAGCCTCATGAATGGATTTATGCCCTTTAAAAAGATTCCAAAGAGCTAGCTTACCCTTTCTGCCAGGTGAGGTCATGGTGAGAAGTCAGCAGTCTGCAACAGAGAAAGGAGCTTTAGCCACAAGCCAACCATGCTGGCACCTGGTTTTGCACTTCCAGATGCAGAACTGGGAGAAATAAAGTCCTCTTGTTGATAAGCCACCCAGTCTGTGGCATTTTGTTACAGTAGCGTGAATGGATTAAGACACCAAAGGATGAGTTGCTTTCCTGATCACACTCCCTAATGAATGAGAGATTCTTTAGTGTGTGAGTTTAAGGAAATGCATACTGTCTCTTCACTTTCTTATCCTCTAGGCTGCACTCCCTTCCTACCCCAGCCTCATCCAGTGCTGGTGAAGGAAATTTTCCAAGGATATACACCCTGATGCACTCTGAAGTTATGCAATAAGATTATGACTTTGGTAAAAAAGGAAAGGCATGCATATGAGTAAGCAGTTGGTATTTCTGTTTACAGGCCCTGCTGAAAAGGAGGGAGCACATGCTTTCAGTTTCAAATTGCAAGCAAAGACTAAGAGAGAAAAGCCATGGTCGGTGAGTTGTTTTTTTGGGTTTTTTTTAATTGTTCTTCTTCAGTTTTATTTGTTTGTTTGTTTACTTTCTAGAAGGATAGGTCCTGGGGAAAATTTTTGAAAGTGGCTGGCTTTTGGGAAAGCCATAATTAGGTTCTGTGAATGTTTAGGTAAACTGGGTGAAGAGAACTGAGGGAGAGGGAAGAAAGAGGAGGGAGGAGGAAGGGATGGAGAGAAGGGGCCTTAAAGGCTTAACTGAATTAATCTGCCAAAGGGTGCAGGATCCCCATGAGATGGGTACCCAGCTGCTGTCCCCAAGGGAAATAAGCCATCACTGTTTCCTTCTTTTATTATGCAGAGTTGAATAAACAGGAGGCATCTGGGACTTCAGGCTCTCAGTGAGCACCCTGGGTAACACTGAGGGAAGAGTGAGGGATGTGGGTAGCTCAGGATGACTGAACTGCGTGGAGAGGGACTTTTTATGGATTAAATGTAAAGGAGGCTGTTGCTGACTTGAGAGGAAAATGAGGCTGTTTAGTGACTTGAGGAATCCTTGTGCTTCAAACAGACAGAGTCCTGACAGAGACGGGGAAGATTTTTATCAAACCAATTAACTGGGGCCCTATAGCCTTGTGGAAAGACCGATTAGAGCGAAGATTGCTTGAGGAGAAGTTGGAGAAACTACAAAAAGAATATGCCACAGAAATCAAAAGCTACACTGAAAACTACTCCCACCTTGCAGAGAAGAGGGGGCTGCCCTCAGGTAAGGTCTATAGCTTGGACTTAAGTCCACTCAGGCCCCCTGTCTTTGCACCCACATAGAATTTCTTCAGTGGTCATGTTAGTTTGCAGATAACTTCTTTTCCTCTGGCTTCAGGGCCCCATTTCTAAGTCAGTGGCACTACTGTATATCCCCTGTCTTTTTACTCTTTATTCTTATTCCTTTTACCTCAGAGTCCTTTTCTGAATTAAAACTCACTTCACATCCCTAGTATATGGTAGCTCAGTTGTTGAAGTTTATGAGACCAGTCTGGTAAACTTTATACCACATTTTCTAGTCCCCCTCGCAAGGCAGTTTACTTAGTTAGTTAGTTAGTCAGCTAGTTACTTAAGTCTAAGGATCCCTAGAAACTTTTATAGATATCTGACATGAAGATTTAAGTTCTGGCATTGAATAGTTTTATATAATTTCTCTCTAAAAGTTTGCTCTCCAGGAGGAATAAAATATGTCAATGATGGTGAGGCATTCAAAGAATAAATTCAATGCTGAGAGAAAAGCAAGGATTTTAAATATAGACTCTTTTTTTTTAATATATTTTATTGATTTTTTACAGAGAGGAAGGGAGAGAGTTAGAGAGTTAGAAACATTGATGAGAGAGAGACATCAATCAGCCGCCTCCTGCACATCTCCCAATGAGTTACCGTGTTCTTTCTGAGGTCCACAGTCCTCTTTGATGTCCAAGGAAAAAGGCAGTTTGTCCGGTGGCTCTTAGAACTGGTGTCTTCTTAGATGTTACTGGTCCCATTGGCTCTGTCAAGACTGAATAGGCTGCTCCAGAATCACCAGAAAATTATCCAGAGGTTTTATTTATCTACAAATAATTACACCTAAGTAGACATATAAACATCAAATAAACATCCATATTTACACCTTTTCAGTGAACAAGTACTTTTACAGTCTTGGGAATTTTGGCAGATAACAGGAACACTGCCCAAGTCCCCTGATGGGGGCCTGACAAGAACAGATGTGGGGGCCTTTGGCTGGGGGGTATAAAGTCTTCATTCTTTCTCTCTCGGCACTGCTAAGGACAGGATCATTGGAGAGGTCTCTTCACCTAGGCAAGGCTGTGCTGAGTCATCTGGGGCAAAAGTGGTTTCTGCTCAGTTTCCCTATTTTACTTGTCCCAGCTTACTGGTCTATTATGCATTCTATTTTCTTAAAATGTATTCTGGCACAGGAGAAGGTTGTTTGCTGCACAGAGGCAGCTAACCTCTACACAACTGGGCTCGGACATCTGCCCAGCAACCTGCAGCCTATAAGTTCAATATGCAGCCTCCGGTTTTTCTAACCCAACGAGGTTTCGGCCAGTCTGAGTCAGACTCCTCCTCCTCTCTTGGAGACTTTCAAAGTCCTGATAGCTCCCAGGTCCAGGGAGAGTGCCTTTTTTTGTTAACCCTTAGGGCCCTGCTTTTTGCCTTTTTATCAGTTCCCTTTGTGGCAGAGCAGCAACCAGGCCTCTTTCAAGGGAGCGCACTGGAAGGAGATATTAACCCCTCCTCTCCCAGCCTAGGGTCTCCCAGGGGCCCAGCCAGAGTGTCCCCCAGCAAATCCCGGAAAGCCGCTGCCCTTTTGCAGTGGTATGGACTCAAGCAGGGGTTCACTGGAAGTAGCCGGCAGCGAAGCGCTCACTGGCTTCTGCCTGCAGCTGCTCACGCCCACAAGCTCTGCCCCGCAGGTGCCTGCCAGCAGCTGCTGCAGCTCCTGTAGGCTCTCCTTGACTGTGCACATGCCTCTTCTCCACCAGGGGCTTCCGGGCCTTGCGGGCAGCTCAGGCATTCAGCCCCCCCTTTCTTTGACCTGGCTCTCAGGGGCTGAGTCTACCTGGCAAACAGTTCTAAATCACCAGGGGGGCTGTGGATTCTAGCTTTGTTCCTCCTCTGCTTTTCTAGCGGGAGTTCAGTTGTTGTTTTATTTTATTCTTAGAAACCTTAATCCTTTAATGATTACCAAAGGTGAACATTCGGCAATTTTAGATTAATATTTATGAACATATTTTAAATGTACTTTTACTCTTAAGATATATCTAGACCTTTTGTGATAAAACTAAGAACAGGTATCGGTCTGATTCAGCATTGGAGGGGTTAAAAGAATAAACCAGGGCAGAGAAAGACTGTGCTTACAGTTACTTTTTGTAACCTTGAAGTTCATTGATAAGACCTGTTAGGTTTGCAGCCAGCAGCATAACTGCCAACCCCCCCACTTCTCTCAGCCCAGGCTGCTTTTCCTCACAGATTTTTTTTTTCTTTTACTCTTTTATAAGCAATCTCAGAACTAAGCAATCTTGGAATTACAGCGATTTACAACCCAGGTAAGAGCAAAGAGCAACTGATAGACAGAAATTTATATTGACTAAGTGGGCTGATTCCTTCTGTAGTGGCGAGCAAAAGACTCTGAGAACTGCTAGAGATTCTTGCAGCCCACCGCGGGTCCAGTCCAAACGTTCAGCCAGATGAATTAACAGAAATGCAAAATAAATCAAAGTAACTTTCACTTTACACAGACTAGTAATGAGCAGCCAAAATAGATAAACACTCGTATTCACGCTCTCAGTAGACTAGCCCAGACTGAAGCTGAGCAGATAAACAAAACAATGCCCAACTCCCCAGACGGGCGTGGGGGCACTCCTGGCACCCATGTCCCAGAACAGAATTCTTGACCAATGTTTTGGTGAGAACCTACCGGAGGAGTTAAGACTGCATCCAGTCCCCCCTCTTGGTAGCAAATTGGCTAGTTCCACACAAACAAACAGCTGTTCACTCATGCTTCCTCAGTGCTTTAGCATTCATTTTAATTTTACAATCTCTATTGTATTCCTTAAAAAAAATTTTTTTCAACATGTAATTAAGAACAGCAGGTTTACTTTGTCCCGACCTCATGATGATCGGTGACGAGAGACAGACAAGGGAGGGGTGACCTGTTTTCACAGATTTTCACTCAGGTACCCACCTGACCAAAGTTGTGGAGCCACACAAAGGAGAGGAGAGGGCAGGCCCCCTTCCTCCACACTCGCACACTTTCACCAGACATTCATTCAGCAAAGGCATTTAGCCACCACAACACACAGTTTTTCTCAATCAGTAACATTTTTAAGAATAACCTTCAAAAATGCAAGACATAAGTTTTTTTATCATTTGAATTCAGTAAGCTTCAAGGTCCCAAGTTCTCAGCAGTTCTGGAAAACCACACCTGAGGCTGGCAAGCAGGTTTGACCCAGCCCTTGACTTTAAAACGACCATAATGCTTAAAGGAGTAGTTTGAGTCTGTCCCATAGCATCCGTCCAGTGAGTCCACAAAATCAAACAAAAGAACACAGACACCAAACAAACAAACAAAGACACCTAAGAACAGCCTTCCAACCCCGTGGAAGAAAAACTGAGTCTGTCCCATAGTCAGTTCGTATGTCACCAAAAACACAAATAACACAGAAGTTGCAGACACGAGGACCCACTTCCCCCTCCTCGTCTGCCACAAACATGTAGCGGAATCAGACGGGCGTGATCCTGACAATCTCTGATCCAACAGCTGAAGCCCATCAGCGCCCTTACTAAAGGAGACTACCAGGCGTCCCTGGCTCTCCACCACCCTTGGGGCGTCCCCCAGGGCTGCAACCTGTGGTCCTCCAGGCACGTCTACCGACCACTGTTCGGCCACTCTCACGAGTTGCCGAACGGCTGCCAAACTGAAAACGAAAGCGCGCACTCAAATCCAGACCGCTTGACAAACACAAGACAAAGACAAACAACTCGGGGCCCTCCTTACCTCCAAGGTCGGCTCCGCGGATGAGGGGTGGCTGTCTGATCCAGGACGAGCCCCCAAATGTGAGGACCCCGCAGGGGGACCCTCGCTCTGTCCCACCGACCAACGGCGACCCCAATCAACCACAGGAGACGTCACTTGATGCAAACGGCATGAGGCTTTATTCCAGCGCGCACTGGGGCTCAACCCGTACTCACGCAGGAGTAGAGGAGTTGGGCCCCCAGCAAGCGGTCTTTCAGCTATTTATATGCCAAAATCACACATCAGGGAGGGGGGTGGCATGCAGGAGGGTGAGAGGAGAACAAAGAGATTTCAAAGGGGTCTGGTTAGTGTCTTGATAGGGCATTCTTGCCTGGTGTTTTCACAACCTGTTTATCTCAAGGTTGATTGAAGCCCGGTTTACTCAGCCTGCCCTTTGTTGGGGCTATCTCCTGAAACAGCCTTAGGGAGGGCGTCATTCTCTCTGTTCCTATCTCTAGTGGGGGAAGCCTAGGGAGTTGAGATAAAACAGGCAGCTAGGCCTGGCAGCTGGGCCTGTGCAGTTTGTAACATTCTTTTATTCTTTCACTTTCTGGACAAAAACCTTGTTAATTAGATCTTAGCAAACCTCTCTTCTATTGTTTATGAATTCTTACTCCTTCTCAGAAAGGAGGGGTGCTGGACTTTCCCAGTCTCTTGCAAAATTTGTCAAGTGATGCCAAGCTGTGACAAATATAGTTAAGTTTCTGTAAGGACTGGGTCAGGATGAGTCAGAAACAAGCTTCTTCAAAAGGAAGGAGTTATTCCCTCACATTTTAAAACATGGGTTGAAAATTTAGTGTCAGTTCATCAGAACTTTGGAGGCAAGGACGTCAAGTGTATGTTAGAATCTCCAAGCAAAATGTTGTCCCCCCTGGCTCTGGAATCAGTACTCTGGTGGCTAGCTAGCATTTCTCCTTGACATAGCTACCTCCACAGCTTTTCAAGGAATTCTAGAAACCTATCTCCTCTGGACAAGTTGAGAATTCAGGCTGAGGTCCCTGAAGAAATAATACCTGGATGTTACAGGATTGAGGATTCTTTTAGGTGCTTAGTGTGTGTCTGTGTCTGTGTTCTGTATAAATTAGGAGCAGACTTGAGATGTTCTAACATCCTATATAATAAAAGGCTAATATGCAAAATGTGCTTCAATTGGGAGTTCCACCAGGTGGCGGGTCAGGCCCTCCTACTGCCCATGGCTCCTCCCCGCCAGCTGGCCATTCTAATTGGCCTTGATCAGGGCAGTCCATCCAGACCCCGCCTGTGCACATATTTGTGCACTGGGAGTCTAGTCCAATATGATAGCTGTTAGGTCGGAGAGAGCCCAGTATTGGATACATGCAGAAGTGTAATGAGATAATGGACCCTCTCTGGCATTTCTAACAGATCAGCGTGCCAGCACAGACACTGGCTTCTCCCTGAATCATCAGGACCCCCACACAGATACTGACTCCTTCCTGAATACATCTGCTGACCCCCTGCAACGGAAACTTCCTCGGCTGAATACCTCAGCTCATGTCCCCGCCCCTCACCCAACCGCAGTATAAAAAAAGGGGCCCCCTCCCTGTTGGCATGAATCCACGTGCCCAGACTTTGGGGTACGTGGATCTCCCGGGGACGCAATAAACCTTTCCTTTCCTTTTCTTTTCTGATTCACTCAACTCTTTATTTCTTACGCCGCCTCCTGAGCCATCGAACCTAACAATAGCTACCAGCTACATTGTGAGTATAGAGTGCTTGAATTGTGGCTAGCAACACATGTTAAAATGATAATAGTTTGAATATATTATATTAAATAAAATATTATTAAAATTAATTTAATCTGCTTTTCCTTTTTTAATGTGAACATTAAAAAAATTCAACTGCATGTGTGACTTAATTATGTTTCTAATGAATAGCACTCTAATAAATATTTATTGAATATACTCTTGCTCAGTGGCAAGATTGTACATCTAGATGATGGAGTGCTCTACAGTAAAAAATAGCAAGACTCAAGCTGTTTTAGCTAAATATAAAAAGGTCAAATTTGACCCAAGTCTTCAAGGAAGGTGTTTTCCTCTTAATAATCATAATCTAGTATCACATTTTTGGGTGGATCTGCTACCAAGAATTTCCCCCTTCTTTCCCAGTTACAATATATTTCTCCATATTAGAGGTTAGATTCAAGGAAAATTCCTACGTTTAAAAGTGTTTACAGAACTTCTCATGATTTATCTTTTCTGTCAGTATGTCTTAGGTGATCATGGGTAACAGATGCAGATATTAACATTTACATCATGTGATGTCATGTGATAGATCCTGCAGAAGTGACTGGGCCAGTTGAGTCAGCAGACACTACAGATACCCTCAAGCTTTGTCCTCCTGAAGATTTCCTGAAAGTTTGTAAAGAAAGAGCGGGAGAGGTACTGTGTTCTATCCATAAAATAGAGAAAGAGAGAGAAACAATTGCTTTCAATAATACTCAATTTCCTAAAGCACTAATTGCAGACTGGTAAGGTGGGGACAGTGGTAAACTTTTTCATAGATGCTTTGAGCAAGGAGGAACTCATATAACCTCACACAAATTTCAATTTTCTTTCAACCCCATCCCATCTAATAAAAGAGTGATATGCAAATTGACCATCACTCCAACACAGAAGATGGCAGCCCCCATGTGGACACAAGATGCCCGGAAGGAGAGGGCAGTTATGGGAGACCAGGCCAGGAGGGGAGGGCAGTTGGGAGCAACCAGGCCATCAGGGGAGGGCAGCTGGGGGGACCAGGCCTGTAAGGGAGGGCAGTTGGGGGGTACCAGGCCTGCAGGGGAGGGAAGTTGGGGAGGACCAGGCCAGCAGGGGAGGGCAGTTGGGGGGGGACAAGGCTAGCAGGGGTAGGGCAGTTGGGGGCAATCAGGCCAGCAGGGGAGGGCAGTTGGGGGGAACCAAACCTTCAGGGAAGGGTAGTTGGGGGGGACCAGATCTGCAGGGGGAGGGCAGTTGGGAGGACCAGGCCTGTAGGAGAGGGCAGTTGGTGGCAACCAGGCCTGTATGGGAGGGCACCAAGAGAGGACCAGGCCATCAGGGAAGGGCAGTTGGGGGCAATTGGGCCTGCAGGGGAGCAGTTAGGTGTCAATCAGGCTGGCAGGGGAGTGGTTAGGGGCTGATCAGAATGGCAGGCAGAAGCAGTTAGGGGCAGTCAGGCAAGCAGTCAGGCGAGCGGTTGGGAGCCAGCAGTCCTGAATTGTGAGAGGGATGTCTGACTGCCCATTTAGGCCCGATCCCACACAGGGCAGTTGGACATCCCTTGAGGGGTCCCAGATTGGAGAGTGTGCAGGCTGGGCTGAGGGGCATACCCTCCCCGCCGCTCCCCCCCACCACGTGCACAAATTTTGTGCACCAGGCTTCTAGTGATAAAATAAAGATTTCTTCATTTATTTGTTCTATCTATTTGAGACTTATTACAATTAAGCTGTAGCTATAGATCAAAATTTTTAGTAATTATTTTCATACTACAGTGGGGCCTTGACTTATGAGTTTAATTCATTCCGTGATGGAGCTCATAACTCAAATTACTTGTATGTCAAATCACTGTGATGTTCGCTGCGCCAACTAGCGGTGGGGTATCTGAAGCTGGCTCGTAACCCGAATATTTTTGAGCTTGCAACTCAAAGCAAAAAATTGGCCGAGAGACTTCTCATATCTCAAAAAAACTCGTTAGTCGGGACAATCGTAAGTCAAGGCCTCACTGTAGTTGAAAAGCCTAGACAAAAAACATGACCTAAGCCGAAACCAGTTTGGCTCAGTGGATAGAGCGTCAGCTTGCGGACTGAAAGGTCCCAGGTTTGATTCCGGTCAAGGGCATGTACCTGGGTTGCGGGCACATCCCCAGTCGGAGATGTGCAGGAGGCAGCTGATCGATGTTTCTCTCTCATCGATGTTTCTAACTCTCTATCTCTCTCCCTCTCTGTAAAAAATCAATAAAATATATTAAAAAAAAAATTGTGGTAAAAAAAAAATAGACAAAATGTATTAAAAAACAACAACAACAACAAAAAAAAAAACAACCAAAAAAACATGACCTAAAATACAATTAAAGCATGAAACCAATTTTATCTTGATGTGTTAAAAATAATACTGAAATAATGACGTTACCAAAGGCAAAGCATCTCTGATGTATTTATTTTTATCTGGAGCCAATAGAAAATTCTCCTGGTTTTTATGAAATTTGATCTGAACCTTGAAAACTGAGAATGGTTTGTTAGGGTAGAGAAGAGAGAGGAGAAAGTTATGGTAGGAATTGTCCTAGTCTTTTAAGATTCTTGATTAAGCATCCAAAATATGTTCTATCAGTGGTTCCCAACCATCTTAATGCTGTTAACCTTTAATACAGTTCCTCATGTTGTGGTGACCCAGAACCATAAAATTATTTTCATTGCTACTTCATAACTGTAACTTTGCTACTGTTATGAATTGTAATGTAAATATCTGATATGTAGGATATATTTTCATTTTCGTGACCCACAGGTTGAGAACCGCTGTTTCTAGGTCCACTTCTGGGCACTTGGAAAATAAATTACATTCTTTTATTTTTCAGTCTATTTTTATTTTTATATAATCTGAAAGTTCTAAATCACTTTCAGTTCTCACTTATTTATTCTGTCAGTTCAATCCATTACAAAGAAAATGGCAGGGTCTCTGGTACAGGAGAGGGGAGAGAGAAGATCCATGATCCTGTAACAAAGCAACAGAGATTAGTACATGAAGGTTTAAAAGAGATTTCAGTAAGTCAAACTCACTGCATATCCATTTCCTGCAGATCTATCCAATAAAGGAGAGAACAGACCGCACTCGCCTGGCTCTCATTATATGCAATAGAGAGTTTGATCACCTTCAGCCCAGGCAGGGGGCTGACCTTGACATCACAGGGATGAAAGAGTTGCTTGTGGGCCTCGACTACAGTGTGATTGTGGAAGAGAACCTCACAGTCAAGGTAAGGGCTCCTCACCCACCCCACACACCCTCCTACTAACAAACTAACTTTATAATGATAGCCAAATGCTTTAACCACATATTTCTCTGTGTGAGGACCTGCATGTGAGTATGTGTGTTTGTAAAATGAAATTATTAGATAGGGGAAATCTATGTCTCTTTGGACTCCAAATATCCTCAATTCCATAAAACTAGACAGAAAGTGACTGGCATGTATACCCACATAATTCTCAGTTCCAAAGTGAGGTGAATGGGATTCAGGCCCAACATTACCAGAAATTCTAACATGATGAAAGTTTAAAAGGCATGTAGTCACCATATAAATACCGAATCCTGACTTGGTCCCAGGGCCTATTTTCGGCATTGGGAGTAGGTCTGTGAATGAGACAGGACGTTCCAAGTTCGAATTGATTTAGGTTTACTGGTGGAGGGCAATCATATGAAAAGAAAAGCAGAAAATTTCAGAGATTTGATGTGTCTCGTGTCTCTCTGTAAGAGTGAAAATAAAGTTAAAAGTAAGTGAAAAAAACAAAAAGAGAACATATGAGAGAATTGGGGAGTGGGGAGTAATCGCTTGGATGGAACGGTCAGGAAAAGCCTTGACAGGAGACAGTAAAGGACCTGACAGGTGACGACCAGTAAGAAAGGTCTGGGAATATGTGAATGCAACCCAGTCCAAGAGGGATGACTACCACGAAGAGTCTGAACTACATATGAAACAGGCACATGAAATATACAAAAAGACCAGTGTAAGGAGAGTCTAGGAAGGATGACAGGAGGGAGAACACATATGTCAGAAGTGTGATTGCATTCTAAGCACAATGGGAATGGGAAGGATTGTTGAAGAAAAATGTTATGATACATTTATGATGTAGGGCTTTTATTAGGTAATCAGGTAAAAGAGATAGAAAGAAAAATATGTAAGTGAAAATAAACAAATGTAAAATACATCAAGAGGATAGCTCATATAAAGTTAGCAAGAGCAGGTCCTTGAACCCCCAGCTCCATGGTCAGAAGAAAAAGAAACCTATCACTGGGCAACCACTATCTGAAGGCACAGTGACTGGAACATGACAGGTGTTTCTTATACTGCTCACCATAAACAGGGGGTCAGATTGGTGTTAGTGCTTGTCCTGTAGAGTAAGATTCCGTGGTCTTTTTCAGGAGATGGAGAAAGTGCTGGTGGAATTTGCTGCCCGCCCAGAGCACAGGACCTCAGATAGTACATTCCTGGTGTTCATGTCCCATGGCCTCCTGGATAGACTCTGTGGGACTCAGCACAGCGAGGAAAACCCAGATGTGCTACCTTATGACAGCATCTTTCGGATATTCAACAATCGCAACTGCCCCAGTCTCAAGGACAAACCTAAGGTCATCATTGTCCAGGCCTGCAGAGGTGGTGAGTTCTGATATGGAAAATCCAAAGGGCATGAAGTGTTTGCAATGGATTGTGATGTGTTTTTTGCTTTTAGGGGAAACAATCCTAGACCCCATTCAGTGCAAATAAAGTGAATTGAATTCTTGGGAAATGCCAAGAGAATTTGGTATCATGAGAGATTGTCTTTTCAGCTAAGAAATATCTATTTGATTTAATCCAAGGTAAATTGTGAAGGAGATCTTCAGACTACCTTAATCAAAGTAGGACACCAATATCTAAACCTTAGAATAAGATTATTTTAATGACAGCTTCACTTGGAAATGTCTTACAGGCATTTTGACATTCTTTGCCTTGAGAAGAATTTCATCCAAATTGGAGCTGTTCTATAGTAGAAGCACCCTTTTCTCCTCAAGCATTATTTAAAGGGAATTGATTAGGTTGATGTGGGCACTTCAAATTGCTGTCAATATTTCCTTTGCTTTTTTTGACTTCCAATTGCTTCTTAGCGTTTTGGAGCAGTGTTTTGAAGAAAAAGCAGAAATAGCCTAGCTGCAAAATGGTAACTAGGCTCTGAAATTATGCAGATAAGATTTGAATCCTTTGCTCTTCTTAGGAAAGGGGTTCTTCCAGTTTGCTGATGCCATCACTACTTGCTGGTAAGATGCTGCCACTATTAATTGGCATGTTGTTCAAAGAAACTAGAGAGAGGCCAAGGTATGTGTGTGGGGCAACAGTTTAGTGTGTGCGTGTGTGTGTGTGTGTGTGTGTGTGTGTGTGTGTGTGTGTGTACGAAATTGCTGGGAAACATTTAAAAAGAATGAGGTAGACAAGAGTGACAGTCATACTGATAGAGGCACACAGTTTGCACAATGTTAATGTCTCCACAGAAAATCGCGGAGAATTGTGGGTTAGTGACTCTCCAGCAGCTGTGACAGACAGCACTTCACAGTCACCTGGGAACCTGGAAGAGGATGCCGTTTACAAAGCTCACGTGGAGAAGGACTTCATTGCTTTCTTCTCCTCAACCCCACGTAGGTCTTTCAGTTACAGACAAGGGTTGTGTGCCTAAGGCCACCTCAGAATGATTCTAGAATATTGAGATGGGCTCCCTGCAGCAGTGACATAAGACACATTTTGTGGGCTGTCAAAACAATTTACAATTATGTGACCTATTCTATGGAAACAGAGATTCTATGTTTTCCACTTTTTAAAACTGTACTTTTATTCTAAGTGCTGCACTTTACAGTCAAAGGTATACCGCATACTAAAACAACCTAATACAAGGAAACCCATTCCTCATACACCATTTAAAAAAAAATTTTTGATTCCATTTTCTATAAAATCTGTTTAACATTTTGAATAGAATTTTAGTGGATCCAGACACTGGCTGCCATTCTTAAATTATCAACACCAACTCCTTTTCTCCATGGTTCTCATTTGATGCTTTTTAGAGGGAGCCATTGCAAGGCTCAGCAGGACAAGGAGATCCTTTAAAAGAGGAAGAAAATTGTACCCTGGGGCTTCGTGGTTGGTCCTAATAATAGGGATCAGTGTTTAGTTCTTAACCTCTAGGTAGTCATCTTAAGAAGCTCTAACATTTGAATGCTTCTACTTTGCAAAGTTTTGTTTTAAGTCTTTTCTATTTGTTACCATTTCATGGACGTATTTTTTTTTCCTCACCCAAGGAGTGAACATATTTTTTCCATTAATTTTAGAGACAGTGGAAAGGGGGGGGGGGCGGCAGGGAAAGGAAAGGGAGAGAGAGAATCATCCATGTGACAGAGACACATCAATTGGTTGCCTCCCACATGCCCCCTTACTAGGGGCCAAGTATCTGACCTGAAACCCAGGTATGTGCCCTTGACCAAGAATGGAACCCGAGACCCTCCAGTGTGGAGACCACGCTCTAACTGAGCCACACAAGTCAAGGCTCATGGAGGTTTATTTGTCATACAAAATGCTGTATATACTTAATATATGCAACATAGTGAGTTGGGATATAATATACACCAGTGAAACCATGACCACAATCTCCTTTGGATTTGTTCACCCACTTCGCTTATAATATTGTGAAAGACAGAATGCTATACACTCTGTAAACCACCTGGAAATCAGGGAGCCATTTGTTGTTGCTTACTGTATAAGTGTGGGGAAATTCTTTAATCCTCTGAGTGTCCATTCTTTCCTCTGTAAAATGGGGTAATTGCAGTTATCTCTCAAGCCTCTTTTCAAAACCAAGAGAATGAACATGAAGCACATAGTAAGAGTCAGTTCCAAGAGTATAATAAAATCATTATGAAATTCTGGTGAGTTATCCCTTTAGTTAAATCTCTTCCAGTTTTTTTACTTTTTTTCTTGTCTTTTTGGAAAATTAGTTAATGTAGAGATGTAAGTGTTTCCCCTAAACATGTCAAGTTAATTCCAAAGCTATGCTTAAGAAACACAAAAGCTACATAAAAAAATAAAATAAAATAAAAAACCTTTGAGAAAAATAAAAACAAAAAACATTCAAGGGCACAGCCCTAAGCTGACCACTCCTTATCTTCACAGATAACATGTCCTGGAGAGACCCTAGTAAAGGTTCTCTCTTCATCACAAAACTAATCAAATGCTTCCAAATGTATTCTTGGTGCTGTCACCTCCAGGAAGTATTTCAGAAGGTAAACTTTTTTATCTTCCTTTTCTAATCATGTGTGTGTGTGTGTGTGTGTGTGTGTGTGTGCATGTGCTGGAAGACCTTTACTATTATTCTTATTTCAAATGACAATGACAGGCTTTGTCAGGCAAACAAAAGTAGAGCAGTACCTGGTTTCCATTATCCAGGGGTTGACATCTGATTTAGCAGAAGAAGATGTCAATGCAAAATTGCACAAGATCAAAATAGAACAAAATAATATAACCTGTAAGCTTATTTGTTATGGGCTATACCAGTGATGGAGAACCTTTTGACCTCGGTGTGTCAGCATTTTGAAAAACCCTAATTTAACTCTGGTGCCATGTCACATATAGAAATTTTTTGATATTTGCAACCATAGTAAAACAAAGATTTATATTTTTGATATTTATTTTATATATTTAAATGCTACTTAACAAAGAAAAATAAACCAAAAAAATGAGTTCACGTGTCACCTCTGACACGCGTGTCATAGGTTCGCCTTTACTGGGCTATACATTTTTTTTAAGTCAAAGATTGGAAAGTATTTTGAGTTGATTTGTATGGCTTACTTTATTGAATAAATATAAATTGGGTGTTATCATACTTGGCAATTACTGCTATCCTGTGACACCACTGTAAGTGAGATATTGTGTCATAAGGCCACTCAGGACCTTTTTGTGAGAGAGCTGGATACTATAAAATTAGACCAGCAAACACATATGTCATTACAGATTGCGATAGGCTCCATTACACAAAGGATATAGGGCACTTGGAAGAAAAAAAAGGGAGAAGGTATTCTTTGAATGGAGTGGTCCAGAAAAGAAGACCAAATTCCTTTCCCACCTTAGGAAATTCCTTATTCCCACTTCCTCCTAATTTGTTTTCCTCCGGGGTTCTGAGCACCACTCATTTGGCATATATTCTGTTTGTTTTCAATCTGTACTTACTCACTTGAATGCAAGCTTCATGAAGGTAGAAATGTGCTCAACACCTCAGCATGCTGGCACATAGGAATTAATATTCATTCAATAAATCAATGCATGAATATCAATACCTTTCTCCCTTTAGGGTATTAAGAATATGGGGCAGTTTTATTTTTATTTTTTAAAATATACTTTTATTAATTTCGAAGAGGAAGGGAGAGGGGTGAGAGAGATAGAAACATCAATGATGAGAGAGAATCATTGATTGGCTGCTTCCTGCATGCCCCACACTGGGGATCAGCCTTGACTAAAATTGAATCCAGGATCCTTTAGTTCACAGACCAACGCTCTATCCACTGAGCCAAACCAGCTAGGGTTGTATGGTTGTTTTTAAATTAAAAACTGTAGAGAACAGTAGCACTCTGTGGGCAAAGAGGAACACAGCTATAGTAAGCGGGAGAAGATTGCATTGTAACTTGCACTAGGGTCGCTGTAAATGGGAACTTTGGAAATTAAGTCCTGTTGGATGAATAGAAATTAGGCATTGTACATTAGGGCATTGCTAGGAGAAGTCTATAAATAGTGTGATCAGTGGGGAGAGGTCCTCATCCCCACCACTTGCTGGTGGGAGTGGGTGTGTTGCAATATCCTGAGAGTTTTCTGAGGCTCACATGGGAAGGTGATATATTATAGAAAATTTCATTTGTGTGCAATTATACCCCTGGGTTCCCAAGGTCTCATTTCCCTTTTTCCTGCCAAGAAAGAAGTACCATTTTGTTTTCAGCAGATCTGAAATCAAAGCCAGTGTGCAGAGTTTCTGTTCCATGTCTCCACAGTCAAATGGAGCATCAGTCTAGTTGATTTGTGTTTCCAGTTATAGTCCATTGCGTGTGAGGTCCACATGGCTGTGGGCCATGCAGCTATGGAGACAACAGGGGCAGGAACAAAGCCAGAGGAGCATGAGAGCAAAGAGAGCCACACAAGAGAGTGAGCTTCTTATCTGCTTGTTTACGCATTGCCAAATTGGTGCAGGCTTGCAATGGCCCTGCCTAGTCTAGCCAAAGCCATTGTTCTCCGGGTTTGACAGGCGCTTTCCCTTGTAACCCCAACTCCTTGTGCATGCATTCATCTCCCATTGATTGAGTCCCTTCCCCTGTGGTCTGCAGGGATGGGCCAGTGAATTGCAGCTTCCTGGTGAAGCTACCCAAATAACAGGCCTAAAGCGTCTTGCCTTTCCCCTTCCTCCTGTTCCATTATTAATAACTACCTAATTGCAATGGTGTCAATAGAATCTCATTTATCAGTCCATGACAAAATGTTCAGAGGTCAGCTTGTTGGTCAGGATGTGAAAGTGTTGTGTTCAGGTTTTAAAACAATAATTGAGTTTGTGCCTTATTGAATTGAGGATTTACCTTGGACGTTGAAGGTAGAGCATTTTTGAGAGCCAGTTCTCATGAATTGACTCCAGGAGATCAGTTAAGATCTGTAGATCTGAAGCGGAAAAAGAAAGTGAACTTTGAAAGGCCTTGGGTTAGGCATGAGGTATTTATTTTGAGATAAAGAGTATATTCTGACATGGGGTGTTACTTCTAAACAGTAGGGTAACAGTGACAGGGAGTTAGAATATACATTGGCTTGGTCCCTTCATTCCCAGAATATTTTAACTCATGGTGCAAAATGTTTTCTGAGAGTGGACAAGAGTTATGTTTCATCTAGATCCTCATTTTTTTAAAAAGGTACAACTATCATTCGAAAAGCCAGATGTTAGAGCCCAGATGCCCACCATTGAACGGCTCTCCATGCCAAGATATTTCTACCTCTTTCCTGGCAATTGAAAATAGTAAGTATCGAAGCTGTTGACAGGTATAACAAATGGAAAAGTGATACTGGTGGTGAGGTTCAATGGCTAATGACAGCCTATTGCTTCGTAGTCAAATTAATGTTGCTTATTGATGTAGTTTAGTGACTAAATATTACTGGTTTCCTCTACTTATATGAATCTTGATGCTCCTCATCTCGATAATCAATTAATCAGTCAGCCAATCAAGGAGAAAAGCCAAACTGAGACAGGAAGTAATAAACAATCAAAGACACAGGGTACTAATTAATAAAACGTAAATATACTAGTGCTTCCATTATTACTTGATATTTCTCTCACTACACACACACACACACACACACACACAGAGTTTCCAAACATTGCCTCAGGTCCTGAAAAGCAAAAAAACAAACAACAAAAGCAACAACAAACACAGAAAACAGAGAGACAACTGTGAAGGAAGGTGGACATTGGTCCTTTAAGTGCAGATATCACATTACTGACCTTGAGCTCCTATTACCAAGACAGTATCAAATATACCCTGGACTGCAATTCTTGTTTTGAGTCAGATTCTGGCTCTCTGACTGTTCTCTCAATGTATATGTCAGAGTCTGCTCTCTGATCCTTAATTACTTCTCTGAAACCCTGTCAAGCATCCATGTTAACACACATTTACTGTTTTGGTAAATATATTTTAGAATGGGTCCAATGAATTTAGACCCAGCTATTAATTTACTCACTCATAACAGCTTAATATCACACTGTCTTATAAGTATTGTTAATTTCTCTTTCAACTGCATACTTAAAATTATATTTTACAGTAAAGTTTATCTCACTACTTTAAATTTTTACCCACCATCTTGTACTTCTGGTTTGTGATTCCCTGGTTTGTGGTGGAATAATTGCATAGATATTTCATCAGAGTATCTTTCATTTCCTAATTAGTATAAGAGAACCACATTAAGGATTGAGCTGTTTGACTAATATTTACCAAGCACTTACTATATCCCAAGTTCTATTCTAGAATTTTGGAATATACCAATATACAAAATAAATGGAGAGCTTTTGCTTCAGAAAGCTCATACCCTAGTCAGTGGAGACAGACTATAAATACACAAACATGTAAATATATGTCAGAGAGTGATAATAGCTAAGAAGAAAAATAAAGGAAGTTAAAAAGATGAAAGAGATGGGTGCTGTACTATAATGGATAGTTATTCAAGAAAGGCTCCTTTGAAGTGATAAAATAAGTCAGAACAGAGAGTGGGCAGAGTCAGGTAGTGAACCTTGTGATTCTCTGCAGAACAATGTTCCAGCACCCCTGGGACTAGCAAGCACAAATGTCCTGAGGCAGAACTGTGCTTAACATCTTTAAAGAACTGCCAAAAGGCAGTGGGCTGGGGGTAGGGGCAGAGACAAATTCAGAAAATGGTGATGAGTCTGGTCACCTGGGCTTTGGTGATCACATAGTAAACGTTCTAAAGTTTTAATCCTGAGTGAGATAGGACACCCTTTGAGTGCTTGTGAACAGAGAAATGAGAACTACCTCAATTTTACAAAGATCACCCTGTGTGCTTTTGGTGAATATACTGTAACGGTCACAGAAGTCAAAGGAAGTGGCAAAAGCACATGGAAGAGGATGAAAGAGGAAAGATGGTAAGGGTTCTGGGATTGAAGGCTTCTGGGAATTACTGTCCTCACCTTCTGTATTTTGTGTTTTGTTTTTGTTTTTTCCTTCTTCAGGGAATTACAGGCCATCCTGCCCTTCTTTACCAACTTCTAGAAGCACCTTTACCCGTATGGCACACCTATTTAACCATTTGTACTTAAATAAAAATCAAAACACATAAACTGTGTCTTTGGGTCTTTACTAGAGACTAGAATTTCAGTTGAAATGGGGGGTGAATGGAAATGAAGTGGAGTAGGCTAACTGGGTTTTCTAGCTTAGGACTCATAGGGTGCCCGCATTTCACTGAGTGAAGACAGCTGGCCTGGCTTTCCCACAGCAGGGGGGTGAAGGGGTGGAGCCTAGATGGAAGACAAGAGCTGTAAATCGGTCAGCTCCTCAGTTGTATACTCATCAAACCCACAGTCTAGACCAGGGGTGGGCAAACTTTTTGACTCGAGGGCCACAATGGGTTCTTAAATTGGACAGAAGAAGGAGCTGCGGCCGTGTTTCCTGACGTTGCCGTGTTAACACTGCTGCTGGTGAAGGAGCAGAGGGGAGAGCAAGAGAACCCTCCGCTCTTTCGGCTCCATGGGCTGGATAGAACAGCCCAAAGGCATGGCCGTTCCCAGAAGCCTTCAATCCACCCTTACCATCTGGCCCGTTCGGCTGTTCTATCCGGCCCGCGGAGCCGAAAGAGCGGAGGGTTCTCTTGCTCTCCCCTCTGCTCCTTCACCAGCAGCAGTGTTAACACGGCAACGTCAGGAAACACGGCCGCAACTCCTTCTTCTGTCCAGTTTAAGAACCCATTGTGGCTCTCGAGTCAAAAAGCTTGCCCACCCCTGGTCTAGAACCAGGTATGCTTCAGAGAAGTTTTCTAATTTAATATTTAACCAACATCATAGATTCAGATAATATTTTTCAACAGTAAACTATTATTTTAGGAAATTATTCCCATGTGTCTTTCTATCACTTAATTCACTTTCTTGTTGTTTTTTTTCCAGATGATTGCATATTTCCAAACTCAGGAAAATTTTATTCTCTAAGAAGCTCTTGGATATTGTCTAAAATAATTTGGCATTTGGTTCAAGATGGGACGACCTTACTGTATTTGTATAGAAATGCAAATATCTTCAGATAAAAAACAGAAAGAGAATGGGGAGTGTCAGCAATGGGAGAGAGAATATTAAAATTTCTGGAAAGATGAATATTGATAGAGAAATTTTGGCACCATGACTATCAGAAGTACTAACTGAGGATATGTACTACTTCTGTTATATACACATAGAATGTTAATGAAATATTTGAGTACTTAGCTAAACTGAATTAAAATAAGATGTTCTCAGTTTCAAATAACACCATAACTGTCTATATTTATTAACATAATTGTTAATATCAATATTTAATATTAAAATAATATGAACGCTATATTCATATTATTTTAATAATTTTGATTACTATAAAGGATTTTATATATAAGAAATCAATTTAACCATCACAGCAACCCTACAAAGTAATTGCTATCAATATCTCTGTTCTACCTATAATAAAGCAAAAGTATATAGAGTATAAATGACTTTCCAAATGTCACTCAGTTAGTAGGTGTATACACCATGATTTGAACTCAATTTGACTTTCTCTAGAATCCGAGTTATTGACCACTGTTCTGCATTGTCTCTGAAAGCCATGAAAAACAGAAGCTATAAGAGTTTTAAATTGTAAGGTTTAACCAAATTTTGTGTTGTAATGTTTAACTTACGCTACAAAGATTCATAATATTTATATTTCTGGACTTGGCTGTCTGTGTAGAAACATGAGACACATCACAAAGATCCAAAAGCACATACTCTAGAGAATTCATTCTTCTGCTGTGTGATAATATTAAAAATCAAATAATATAAAGATTTTCACACATCACCACAGAGTTGAAAAAAACACAAACACATGCACATATATATTAATATTTCATATGCATATACTAGTTACATACACATGTAAACATATAAAAACAAAAAAGAAAAAAATGAACTAAGCATTAAACTTGAGAAGTCAGAAAATACTGAACCAATAAGGAAATAGGAAAATGAAAATAGATATTGAAACACAAAAATCAATGAGATGTCATGAAACAAAAAAAATTGAGCAGATCAAGAAAAGCAAAAGCTGGTCTTTAAAAAATACTAATAGCAGACATTCAGTAAGATTGAGTATGAAAAATAAGAATGAGTAGAAACGCAATATAGGAGATAAAAATGAACCATAAATACAAATAAACATAAATACAGTAAAATTATAAAATTGTCTGCCATACATTATATAGATGAAATTCTAGAAAAGATAAATCAAAAAATTAATCCATGAAGAAATAAAAAACCAAATGTATCAATAAACATTAAACAGATTATATTTTGTTATATCTACTTGCAAAGAAGTTAACAGACATAAATAATACATACATACATACATACATACATAGATCGATAAATATCTTACAAAACCTCTAAGAAAGTGATGAGCTTAACTTTATATAAATACTTCCATATAATAAAAATAGAAGTAACCTCTTTAAATTCTTTTATGGGGCTAGTACAAAACTGATACAAAACTAGAGAGGTGGAGGCAAAGTTAAAAAAACAGGTTGATTGTCAGGAACATTGATGTAAACACTCTAAATAAGGTGTTAGAAAAACAAATCCAGCCACAATTTTGTAATACTAATAATTTTTAGCCAGTATTTGCTCTGGAATTTATAGTTGAATAACAGAAATATTTATGCATACATTACTCAAATTAAGAGATTAAAAAAAACACCTATATTTTAAGATGTTTAGGAAAGCATTTAATAGTATTCATATTCATTAGTGATTTAAAATTAAACCTTAGATAAATAGGAAGAAAAGCAATTCCTGAAATAAACAACATGTACCTAATAAAAACTTAATAGTACATAAGAATAGAGCAAAAAACCAATATGAGAAAATACAGGGTGTCCCCCCCCCCAAAATAAATATTAAGACCTGATAACTCAATTTTGAAAATGAAATGTATTTTAATAAACATTTCCTTTATAATTATTTAAAGTGTGTGTATACATTTTTGAGAAACCCTATATGTCTGTGTGTGTGTGTGTATATATATATATATATATATATATATATATATATATATATATATATCTTACTAGAGGCCTGGTGCACAAAAATTTGTGCACTCGGGGAAAGTTCCGTCAGCCAGGCCTGTGCCCTCTCACAGTCTGCGACCCCTTGGGGGATGACCATCTGCTGGTTGAGGCCTGCTCCCCAGGGGATTGGGCCTAAGCTGTCAATCAGACATTCCTCTCACAGCCTGGCAGCCCTCGGGGGATGTCCACTTGCCAGCGGGGAGCAGACCTAAGCTGCAGTCAGACATCCTTAGCGCTGCTGAGGAGGCAGAAGAGGCTCCCACCAACACAGCTGTACTGGTAGTCATCAGCCTGGCTTGTGGCTGAGCAGAGCTCCTCCATGTGGGAGCTCACTGACCACAAAAAGGCAACTCCTGCATTGAGCATCTGCCCCCTGGTGGTCAGTGTGTGTCATACTGACCAGTCATTCCCAGTCTTTCTGCTGTTAGGATCAGTTTGCATATTACCCTTTTACTATATAGGATAGAGGCCTGGTGCAAGGGTGGGGGCCAGCTGGTTTGCCCTGAAGGGTGTCCCGGATCAGGGTGGGGGTCCTGCTTGGGTGCCTGACCAGCCTGGGTGAGGGGCTGATGGCTGTTTTCAGGCTGCCCGCACCCCTTTCAGGGTGGGGGTCCCCACTGGGGTTCCTGGCCAGCCTGGATAAGGGGCTGATGGCTGTTTTCAGGTGGGCCAAGCCTGCAACTGAAGCTCCCAGTCTCTCCTTTTTTTCTTTTTTTTTAATTCTAAGATTTATTTACCTTCTGTAATTGAAACTTTGTTGAGGCTCCAGCTCCAAGGCTGGCTGGCTGAAAGCAGGTATCCGAGGTTTGTTTAGCTTCTATAATTGAAACACTGTTGTGATCCTGCTCGCTCCATCTCCGAGGTCTGCTGGCTGAAAGCAGGTGGGGAACCTTGGCTTCCTCCATCGCCTGGGCAACCAAGCCTCATGTTCACTTCAGCTGCATGACTTCCGGGCGCCATCTTGGTTGGCAGTTAATTTGCATATCACCCTGATTAGCCAATGGGAAGCATAGCAGAGGTATGGTTAATTAACATGTTTGTCTATTATTAGATAGAGATATTACAGAATTATTTATTTATATAAAGAGCGAGGGTCCATAAGGACCTTAGGCTCAACTGAGTGTGTGGGTTCTGGCGAGCAGGCTGAACCCTGTGACGTTTCTGGTGGCTGAGGGTGCAGAGTGGGAGTGTGGGCGTGTGGGTGTGTGCATGAGCATGGACCCGAGCGACACACACTCACAAGCCCACACCCACACAGGACCCTCGACCACGCCACCCACGCTTCCCTGGACTTCACTTCCAGCCTGGATCCTCCAGATCCAGACCCCAAGGAAGCTCAAGTTCAGCAAGAGTTTGCAATTTGTCCAAGGCACATTTATAGTTTTCTCTTAACCGGTTTGTGGGGGTGTAATCTGATTTAAAACCAATGGACTAAGCACTTTCTAGAAAGTTAATTTAGAAATGTGGCTCACAATTCAAGTGAATTAGCTTTGGGCCAGGAGTTCCATGTCTGTGAATTTTTCCTAAGCAAACAGTCAAATGAGCAACTATGTTTTAAATAGTTTTAAAAACAGTGACTCTTCCTGAGTTCCACAATTGTGAGTGTTACCAAATTGTTTCAGGTGTGACAGGTGTCCTTTGGTGTCCCATACACACAGATATCCTTGCCTGAGGAACAGCCTGAACCTTTGGCGCACCTGCCCCTCTCTGTTGTGGCAACAGCCAATCAGAAATTCCCTTTCATAGGGCTGGTTTCCTTTTCTCCTTTGCCCAAACCACGCCTTTCCAACAAAAGAATATTAACCAAGCAATCCTAACAACAAGTTTGTTGCCGACCGCCAGTTATGCCCTTTTACGCAGCTGTTGCTTTCAAGCCTACCAGGTTGTAATTCAAAACTATTATTCATCTGCAACTTGACCATTTTTTATTTACTTAAAATATTCTGTAGTATTTTAAATACATATAGAAAAGTTGAGAATAATATGACAAATACTTATCTATACTAATAAAAGGGTAATATGCTAATTAGATCGGACATCTTCTGGACATCCTTCTGGAAGAAGCCAAGGTGGCAGGGGCCAAGCAGAGGCAGTTAGGGGCAACCAGGCTGGCAGGGGAGCACCCCAGCGAGGATCACCACCACAATCCGGGGTGTGGCCAGCCTGCAAACCATTGGCAGCCCCTCGCCCAGGCAGAGGTGGCTCTGGGGGCTGGGTGTGTGTGGTGCAAATCTTTTAAAAATAAAGGAAGACCCACTGGCACTCCAAGGCACCTCCTGGCACTGGCTTCCTCACCCCCACTCCCTTCTGAAGCAGAGCCCCAGGAGGAGCCCCAGGTGGAGGGACTCGGGTGGGTGTGGGCCATGTGGCCCCAGGTCCCAGGCCCCTTGTGGGTGGAAAGGTTCGCACCACAGTTGGTGTAGTGACTCTGGATAATTCTGCTGGGAAAACTGGCAGGGCTCCCATGTGTTTGGGGGCAGCCTATTCATGCTGGGACCCAGGTGTGCATCCCCACACATGCAGGGGGCTTGTGCTGGGAGCGCAGCGCAGCCATCATATGGATATTTGTGCATGAAAAGGGGTGCGCACACCTTTGTGTGCATAAATACCTGTTTCTCAGAAGCATACCTTGAAAGGTGCTTTGTCTGTAATAGGCAGTTTTCAAAATGTAATCCAGAGCAAGGGATCTGTAGCAAAAACACACACACAAGAAAAGGTTTTTGATACTAAACACGAAGCTGTAATTGAAGTGTTTATGCCCAAATGTACTGTGAATCAAACATATGGTGATATTGATCATCTGGTGGGTGTTTTAAAAGGTTTGGTTTATCACTTCTCATTTCACAAAAATAAAATAAAGTAACTAAGTGATTACTAAATATATACTTCTAAGGCAAAGTAGTTTACCCACTTTTTGCACGTGTGTAGCACGTGAATGCTATTTATAAAGTATAACTTGGATGATGTGACAATATGCTTGAGGAAGGGGGTGGCCGGTTGTTTTTAAAAATCAGGCATCTCACAGCTTTTAAGACAAACGTGTTAACCTAAAATCTTCAGAAGGCAGAATCAGGGGTCTTTTAAGACCTTTGTATAAGCTTAAGACATAAAAAAGCAGCTACCTTTTTAGGATGTGGCCTAAAAGAAACCTGTTATTTTCAGTTATTACTGTCTTCAAAGTAAAATAATATTTTTGCAGCCTTTTTATATGAGGTGTTTTTTTTTTCATATTTTCGTTACAATACTTGAAATAAGTGTTGTCATTATTTTAAAGGAATAGATTTTTCCTCTCAAATATCAGACCTAAACTTTCACACACACACACACCCTCCATCAATGTTTATTTGCAGTAACTTATGCATCTGGACTCCAGGTGGCCTAAGCTCAGTGATTAGACAGGTGCTTTTATAGCCAAGGTCAAAGGCTCTTTCCCCTGATTAGCCCTTGAGGGGAGCAGCCAGAGCCTCTCCTGACCAGCATAAGGGAAGGGTGGAGGGGCAGGAAAACCATTAGAGGAAAAGGAGTGGGACTGGAAACTCCCTCACAACCACACTCAAGAGAGTTCAAATGCTCTCAGCAGCGGTGGTTGGGTGGGTGGGTCAGCAAGCGTGGTGGGGAGGTGGGTGGGCAGGCCACACATGGGTGGGTGGGCCAATGGACTACCACTCAATTTCGCATGCTGGGCGTCTAGTCTGTATATATAAAAGCCAAAGCAACCGTTACAACCAAACAACCAGAAGGACCGGTTGACCAGTCGCTATGATGCACACTGACCACCAAGGGGCTGATGCTCAATGCAGGAGCTGGACCCTGGTGGTCAGTGTGCTACCACAGCCAAACTCCTACGGCCAGTCAACCTCCCTGCATTTTTCCTTGTGGACAGAGAACCTCCTGCAGTCCCTCCCCCCAGCCAGTCCCTCCCCCTGTCCCTCCACCCAGATCACCTCGAATGGGGCTGGCTGGCCAACCTCCCACACTTCCTCCCCCCTGCCCAGTGCTTCCCCCTTGCTGGTCCCTCCCCCCGGCCAGCTGGCTCTGATCCACATCTATGGAGGCTGGCT